AGTGTTATGGTTGGCGTTGGAGGTGTTGGAGTTAGCGTTACCGGATGACTAATAATTTTGAAGTATACGTCAACTGTATCACGTGACCCTCCCTCCACGCCCGGGGGATAGCAACACCCAGTCCCCGGCATGGTAAAAACAATAGGCAGAAACGGCGCGAAAAGAGGGAGACACGCGGGAGGTTATGGCGGAGCAGCTGTGTTTAGAATGTGTCCGTAATCAATCGTGCATTTGCATAATTACTAGAGTGTTAGGGATTTGTGGTATCAGTTCTTCGTAGTGCGCGTACAGTACTAGTACTACTACTAGTGCTGAGAGGGTCTATGTCCTCCGGGGTACTGCCGGAACGTACCCTGGGTACGGTGGGCAGGGGCGTAGCCAGTATGTAGCACTGTAGGCCCGGGCCTACACTTTTTTTGGCCAAGTTATGTTTTTTTTAAACACCCATAATTCAAATCCATAAGCTTGCTGGACGAGTTTAAGAGTCTAGGCAGGAAAAACTATTCAAATGAACGTAGCAAGAATATGGCTAAATTAGGTGACCTATTCTTCTGTCATCTAGGCTGTCATTTCTATCGCGTGCCGTTTCATTCAACACTCTACCCGCCGAAAAAGACTAGGATCCGATATTGTCAGTTTTTTAACATTTTAACTCGTTCGTAACACTATTTTAACTCGTTTGTGTTTTTTGGGTTTAAAAGTGATATTGAATTAGGTGTCTCAAGTTAGCAAGAGGTCAGGGAACCAGAATGAACACTCGGGAAGGGCCGTTTCCGGCCATCTGGGGGGTTTGTAAAACCAAAAATTTTCTTGTACGCTGCGCGCCAACCGATGGTGGCGCTCCGCTCAGATAGTCATGCCTAGAACTTTGAAAATCCTGGCTACGCCCCTGGTGGGGTATACCGGAACGTACCCTGGTACTATCTAATATGCCGGACCGTATCTCGCCTACTCCACTAACTAGTCTAGGGAGTCGCCTACGCCTACTCCCTAACCCGAACCCGAACCCGAACCCTAATCCTAACCCTAACCCTAACCCTAACCCTAACCCTAATCCTAACCATATCAAATAGTGACCAGGGTTTGTTCCGGTATACCGGACCGTACCCAGGGTACGTACCGGCAGTACCCTCTGGGACATCAGATGATCAGACCCTATGATCACTACTAGTATGGTATGTATACTGTAGGGAATGTACGAAATAATGTAGAATTCATATACGGATATATGTAGGATTCATGTACGGAATGTATACTGTAGCCTCAGTGTAAGGATAAATACGTTGCCAGCGTGTTTGAAATATCATCAATATGTCAGACTGAGACATCCATATAGTGTATTACTATTAGTGTTCTCCATGCGTTATTAGCTGATGCAGATGACTGTACACTGATGGTGTAATAATATAGCTAGCGTGTGTGGTCACAGGCACTTGAAGCGTTTCAATAAAATATAATGCTAACTAAATACGAAATCTATTTACTACCAAATTCTGAATGTTTCTATACTCTCTTTCACCAATTATTGCCGACAGTTTCCTGTAAATTCCGTCCAAATCCTACGTGCAACTACTATATACGCTGCAGCCGGCCATTGCTCTCGCGGCTCCAGTGTTGCACGCCTACACATATATATAAGATGACTAGAGTCTGGCTCGGGGCGAACGTGCTGCTGTCGCAGTGTTGGTAGATGTGTGACGCGAGGCTATAGCAAGCGTTACCTAATAAATAATAAACATACTTCTACTTCCTACTTATTATTTCTCACTTCGTGACCGGCAACCTCCCCCCCCCCTTCGTATCTCTCACTGGACGACCGGAACACCCCCCTTTTTTTCTCGACGCTAGGGTGTTCGGCTGCCTCTTCCTCGTCGCGATCCTTGTGATCAAAACCGTAAAGGACGGGGTGGTAACAGCCCTGTCAGGGTGCGCGACACAGCGGCAACCGAACCTATACCACGGCCAATGGTAGTAGTCAAGTAAAGAAAGGAGAGAGAGAGAAAACGTTACAATACGATACTCGAGAGAGAATGCGAAATAGCATAAATATGTATATATCTATATATTATATTTATGTGTGTGCGTGTGTGTGTGTGTGTGTGTGTGTGTGTGTGTGTGTGCGTGTGTGTGCGTATGTGTGTGTGTGCGTGTGTGTGTGTGTGCGTGTGTGTGCGTGTACGTATGTGTGAAAACATTGTGCACGCGTGTCATTAGGAGTCCGCGCGCATTACGGGACACGAAGAGCAGACTGCAGTAACAGCAACGTGATAATAGGGTAGCAGCGCGATGATAAAGAACAGCGCCGTGTTTGACAGCTGAGTTGTTGCCAGCCGTCAAACATACACCACCGCGTGCTATGTCGCTCACACTCATTGTCTGCTCATCATTAGCGAGGTTGACGTAAAGTCTCGCACCGAGGGCTGTCACGTTATATCCGGTGGGACCCGGTAATGGAGGACGCATCAACGACAGGTGAGATGAGT